CTTATTGACAATGCTTTCTGTATAATCTAATACACCAAATAAGTCCAATTAGTTTACTATTTCTCTTATTATAGAAAGAGGGATTCTTCTGAGGTATCGCAAAAGCTCATCTAGAAAATCCTAAAGTTAATTTGAGGTCAAGAAAGAGAATTTAGAGTTTGATTTGGGGAAGTAAAAAAATAACAATGGCAGGCTAGGATTGTGCTCAGTGGCAGAGCACTTGTCTCGCATGTGTGAGGACTGGGTTCCATCCTCAGCACCACATAAAAATAAATAAATGAAAAATAAAGGTATTGTGACAATCTACGACTAAAAAATATTTTTAAAAAAAACCAAAAATTGGCTTAAAACACTTGATCAAAGTAGGATCACAGGTCAGTGTGAACAGTAGTCATTTAGACAAAGGGATAATTAAGACATCAAAGGCAAATATGGAAAGTTACATAATTGTAGAAAAGCTGTAATTCAGCTTTATAGAGGCCTCAGTTTTTGTAATTGATCAAAAACCTAATAAAGCCAGATGCACACCAGTAATCCCAACGGCTCAGGAGTCTGAGGCAGGAGGATCACCAGTCCAAAGGCAGCCTCAGCAATGGAAGGTACTAAGGAACTCAGCGAGACCCTGTCTCTAAATAAAATACAGAGTAGGGCTGGGGATGTGGCACAGTGGTTGAGTGCTCCTGAGTTCAATCCCTGGTACCCCCCAAAACAAAACTAAACTAAACTAAAAAGGGCTGGGATGTGGCTCAGTGGTTAAGCACTGGGTTCAATCACTAGTACCCTCCCCCGCAAAAATCAAACTCTTCCTAATTTGTCTTATGAGGCTACCATTACCCTGACACCAAAACCAGATAAAGACATAACAAGAAAAGAGGATCACAGTCCAATATCCTCTGTGCATACAGGTGTGAGAGTCCTCAACAAAATAATACTAATAAACCAAATCCAATGGTTTATTAGAAAGAGATACACTATGAGCAAGTGAGATTTATTCAAGGAATGCAAAGGTGTTGTGCACTGTGAATGTAATATAAATAATTGAACTGTATACCTAAAATGGCTAAAATGCCAAATTTTATGTTACACATATTTGACCATCATAAAAAAAAATTTAAGGAAGGAAGAAAGTGTATGACATCTGGCCATCAGGGGTGACAGTGGTAGGGAGAGGAGCCCTGTCAAGGGGCCTCTCTGAACTGGGCCACCTTGCCTGAGTTGAGAAATTAAACTGAGCCTAAAGCTGCCTCCCTAAGGGCCAAACTACCTTCACATGTTATTGACCAGTCTGCAACTTAACTTGAGAATAAACTCTTGAAACCAAGCCGTTGGGTCTCAAACTGATCAGGTGTGTTCAAATCGGCAAGCACTGAGTGGAGACCCATCAGGCTCTTTTCTTTCTTTCTTTCTTTTTCTTTCTTTCGTTCTTAGTATCATGGGATTGTGTGTGTGTGTGTGTGTGTGTGTGTGTGCGCGTGCTGCTGGCATTGAACCCTGGGTCTTGTGCATGTGAGGCAAGCACTCTTCCAACTGAGCTATATCCCCAGCCCTTCAGCACTGGGGATTGAACCCAGGGGCACTCTACCCATGGGCTAGCTCCCCATTCCTTTTCATTCTTCATTTTGAGTCAGGTCTCCATAAGTTTCCATGTTACAGAGACTGGTCTTGAACTTGCGATCCTCCTGCCCCAGCCTCCGGAGTAGCTGTACAGTCGTGAGCTGCCATTCCCATCTCTCTAATAGGCTATTTCTGTAAGGCACTTCCTTTTTCTCCCTATAAATACTGACTTTACTGGTTCAGGGTGCTGCCTGACTCATGAATCACTTCTTTGTTCAAATAAATGCTGCTGAATTTAATTTGTTTAAAATTTCTGTTCTAACAGATTGGTATCAGAAGTGCAATCTGAAGCAGACCTCCAGCAGGGCTTGGTGGTGCATGCCTGTCATCTCAGTGGCTCTGGAGGCTGAGGCAGGAAGATCTCGAGTTCAAAGCCAGCCTCAGCAATTTAGCAAGTCCCTAAGCAACTTAGTGAGACCCTGTCTCTAAACAAAATATATTTTTAAAAGGGCTGGGGATGTGGCTCAGTGGTCGAGTAGTCCTGAGTTCAATCACCAATACTCTCCCCCAAAACAGCAACAACAACTAAACAAAGCAAAACAACGCAGACCTCCAGAGATGCCCCAGGAGTACCAAGTGCCCAAGCAAAGTGACCCACTAGGACCCACGGTGCCCTTCAATCTGCTGCAGCAACTGAGTTCATGGGGGAGTCCTTTATTAGATTCAAGCTCTACAAATTTGTATTTTAAACTCTCTGGCTTTAAGCAAAAGAGAAATGATTCATCACAGGAAAACCTCAACACAAGTAATATCTGACTTTGCATCAGAAACAAGGGAGCCAGTGGCATATTTAAAGTACTTAAGAAAAACCTGCCAACCAAGAATCCTTTTTTTATTTGTTCTTTTTGGTCTTTGACATATCATACATACATGGAGTATAACTTCCCATTCTTGCAGTTGTACATGATGTGGAGTTATACTGGCTGTGTATTCACATATGAACACAGGAAAGTTACGTCCGATTCATTCTACTGTCTTTCCCATTCCCAACCCCCTCCCTTTCCCCTTCTCCCTCCATCCAATCCAGTGAACCTCCACTCTCCAGTGCACTATTGTGAGTCAGCATCTGCATATCAGAGAGAACATTTGGCCTTTGTTTTTTTGTTGGGGGGGGGGGGACTGGCTTATTTCACTTAGCATGATAGTCTCCAGTTCCATCCATTTACCCACAAATGCCATAATTTCATTCTTCTTTTTGGCTGAGTAATATTCTGTTGTGTATATATACCACATTTTCTTAATCCATTCACCTGTTCAAGGGCACCTAGGTTGGTTCTATAGCTTAGCTGTTGTGAATTGAGCTGCTATAAACTTTGATGAAGTCACATCACTGTAATGTGCTGATTTTAGTCCTTTGGGTATATGCCAAAGAGTGGGGCAACTGGGTCAAATGGTGGTTCCATTCCAAGTTTTCTGAGGAATCTCCATGCTGCTTCCCGGAGTGCAAACCCAGAATCTTCTGTCCAACAAAGCTAAACTGAGTCTAAAGCTGCACTAAACAAAAATCTCATGGAACCACAGCAGTATATATGATCTGTCACTGACTGAATGATTTTTTGGTTTTAGATTCATAGCAAATTTGAAGAGGAAGTAAAAGAATTCCCAGAGCCTGGGATTCTGCACAGGCACCATCTTCCCCTGTGTCAGCTCTGGGCCCCACAAGAGCACCTGTGTTACAATCAAAACTCCCAGTGCCACGTGGTCATCACGCACAGGCCAAAGTACACACTGGGGCTCACTCTTGGTGTTGCAGGTTCTGTAGGTCTTAAAAAATGTAGAGTGGCATGTACCCACCTCTATCGTATCACACAGGACATTTTCAAATCATTCCCCCCCTCCTCTGACTCCTACCAACCACTGATCTTTTTTTTTTTTTTTTTTTTGGTAGCGGGGATTGAACTCAGGGGTGCTTAACTCCTGAGCCCTTTTTAAAATTTTATTATATTTAGAGACAGAGTCTCACTAAGTTGCTTGGGGCTTTGCTAATTTCCATCCTCCTGCCTCAGCCTCCTGAGCCACTGGGTTTACAGGCCCTTATCACTGCACCTGGCTCGGCACCCCACCCCTTTTTTTCTTTTTATTTTGAGACAGGTTCTCACCAAGTTGCTGAGGGCCCTGCTAAGTTGCTGAGGCTGGCTTTACACTTGGGATCCTCCTGTTTCAGCCTCCCAGGTCTCTGGGACTACAAAGTATTTTGCCAAATACCTTTTCTAATCTATTGACATAGTCATGCAATTCTTCCCTCTAGCCTGTGGATGAATGTGTTGAATTACATTAGTTGACTTTCAAATGTTGAACCAGCCTTGCATAGGAAGGATAAATCCCAAGAGGTGGCGGTGTATTGTTCCTTTTATGAATTGTTGGATTCAATTGCCAAATAGTTTTCTTGAGGAATTTTGCTTCTATATTTGTTTTCCTTTCTTACAACATTTTGTCTAGTTTTGATGTTGGAGTAATGCTGACTTCACAACAAGTTAGGAAATAGTTTCTCTGCCTCTGTCTTCTGGATGAGATTGTAGAGAACTTGTATAATTTCTTCCTAAAACATTTTGTAGAATTTATCTGTGGACCCATCTGGGCCTGGCCTCTTATTATTGATTCCATTTCTTTAATAGCTATAGGCCTATTCAAATACTTTCTTTTTGTTTGTGTTTTGGCAAAGTTTGTCTTTCAAAGAACTGGTCCATTTTATTTATGTTATCAAATTTGTGAGCATAGTGTTGTTCACAACATTCTTTGTTATACTTTTTTTGGTTTTTGGTACCAGGGATTGAACTCAGGGGCACTCAACCACTGAGCCACATCCCCAGCCCTATTTTGTATTTTATTTAGAGACAGGGTCTCACTGAGTTGCTTAGCTCCTCGCGTTTGCTGAGGCTGGATTTGAACTCACAATCCTCCTGCCTCAGCCTCCCGAGCTGCTGGGATTACAGGTGTGTGCCACTGTACCTGGCTTTTTGCTATACTTTTAATGTCTGTGGGATCAGTGGTGATGTTCCTATTGCTTTTCTTTCTTCTTTTTTTAAAGTGTGTGTGTGTGTGTGTGTGTGTGTGTGTGAGAGAGAGAGAGAGAGAATTTTTTAATATTTATTTTTTAGTTTTCCGCGGACACAACATCTTTGTGGTGCTGAGGATCGAAACCAGGCCACACGCATGCCAGGCGAGCGCACTACCGCTTGAGACACATCCCCAGCCCCTGCTTTTCTGACATTAGTAATTCATGCCTTTTTTTTTCACAGCTGGGCTACAGACTTTTTTCTTTTTCCTGGTGCTAGGGAATGAACCCAGGAGTGTTTAACCTCTGAGTCACGTCCACAGCCTTTTTTCTGTTTTATCTTGAGACAATGTCTCACTGAGTTGCTTAGGGCCTCACTAAATTGCTGAGACTGGCTTTGAACTTGCCATCCTCCTGCCTCAGTCTCCTGAGTTGATTCAGGTGTGCTCCACCACGCCTGGCTTGGGCTAGAGACTTATCAGTTATAATGACGTCTTCAAGAAGCAGCTTCAGGTTTTATGGATTTTCCCTCTTGCTTCCCTGTTTTTCATGTCATTGATTTCTGCTCTATTTTTCATTATTTGTTTTCTTCTGCTCGCTTTGGATTTAATTTGCTCTTTCTAGTTTTCTAAGGTGAAAGCTTAGACTACTGATTTTAGATCTTCCTTCTTTTCTAATAAATGCAGTCCGTGCTATGAATTTCCTTCAATCACTGAGTTCACTGTCTATGACAAATTTTGACAAGTTAGAGTCCACTCAAATAAATACGGTGCCACCTCCTGGGCCGTGAGAACACAATAACCGAGTAGCCTGACTCCCTCCCTGCTGCCCTGGGCCTTTCATCTCACTTATCCACTGACTGCAATCACTCAATATGTGGCTGTGGTCAGAATATGAAAAATAGGGCCCAAGATGGTAGATGTGTGCTTAGCATGTGTGAAGCTCCAGGTTTGATCCCCAGACGATATACAATAAAAAAAAGTTTTGATTTTGCCGTAGCTCCTTCTCTAATGCTCTTACCTAGTTTATATCGTCTCAGCCTCTGGCCTGCATGAAGCTCCTTCCCCTGCAAGTTTTGTTGTTGTTGTTGTTGTTTTGTTTTAAACACTTCGTGCAAAGTAGCTCTCCTGCCCCAGGACTCAATTTTTTTTTGTCTGTGTAAGTTCTCGTTTCATCTCATTTCATCAGAAGGATCCATTCACAAAATACAGAATTCTAGGTTGATGGGGTTTATTTATTTATTTTTTTTCTCTTTACACTTTAAATATTTCACTCTGCTCTCTTTTCACTGCTCGGGTTTCTAAGAATTCTGATTTAATTCTTCTTCTGGCTACACATGGTGTTTCCTTCCTCTGGCTTCTTTTGGGATTTTTCTCTTTAACTTTGAATTTGTGAGTGTGGATCTAAGAGGCCTAGGTGTAGATTTTGGGGACATCTCTCTTACTTGGTGTCCTCTGAGCTTCCGGAATCCGTTGTTTGGTGTCTGATATTATATTGAGAGACTCTCATCATTGTTTCGAATATTTCTTCTGTCCTCTTCCCGCTTTCTTCTTCTGTTTTCCGAAATATATGATGCACCTTTTGTAGTTGTCCTACAGTGCTTGAGTATTTTTTCTGTTTCAGGCTTTTTTCTTTGTCTTTGAGTTTCAGAAGTTTCTTTCTTTCTTTTTCTTACAAAAACAATGTCTAGACCATGTAGAAGAGATAAAAGTTACTTCACCTCAATTTACAATGGCTCAATATTATTTTATCCCTCATGTTTGACTGCTCAGATCACTGAGAGACTATGGCAGCAAATAAATGAAAAGGTGAGTTTTGGAGGTTTCTGTTAACATATCCTCAAGTTCACTGATTCTCAGCCATGTCCGGTCTGATAAGCTCATCAAAGGCACTTTTCACTTGTTACAGTGTTTTTTAATTTATTGGGTTCCTTTTTGTTACTATAATGGAATACCTGAGGCAGGCTAACATTATAAAGAAAAGAGCTTTAGCTCACAGATTTGGAGGCAGAAAGTCCAAATAGCATGGTGCAGATTCTGGCAAGGGCAGTGGATGGCAGAGATTATATCACCAAACAGGAAGCCAGAGAGAAACTGGGGCCCCTCTAAGAGCACACCCTACAATTAACCTAAGAACCTCACTCTAGGTTCTACCTATAAAGTTTTCACTGCTTCAACAATGCCACCTGAACATCAAGCCTTCTGCACACGGACCCCTGGAGGGACAAAGTGTACAGCAGCACTTCCTTTATTCTTCTTTCTTTGAATTTTCTCCGTTCTGTTATTATTGCCTAAGTGCCCTTTACGTTGTCTCCCTTCTCTACTAGAACCCTTAGCATATGGTTATCCCCAGTCCGAAAATTCCAGCACGCTGCTCTATCCAAGTCTGGTTCAGATACTTTATCAGTTTCTTCAAACTGTTTTTGCCTTTTATTAGGCCTTGTTATGTATTTACTTATTTATTTGGGTGCTGAGGATTGAACATAAGACCTTGTGCATACGAAGCAAGTGCTTTACCACTGACCCACGTCCCCAGCCCTGCCTTGGCATTTTTCATTTCTTTCTCCCTGAGCCCCCTCCGTCCTTTCTCATTTCTTTCTTTCTTCTTCTTCTTTTCTTTTTTAAATTTAGAGCATTATATTTCTACATAGTGTCTGGGTTCCTTTCGACACAATTATACAGACAAGGAATTCGATTCCAATTCCCATTAGCCCTCTCCTTTCCTCCCCTCCTCCCTCTGCCCTGCCCAGGATTTTTTTGTTGAAAGCTAGACATGACTGCCGAGGTTCATGGTCAGCTAGCTGTGGGTCTCCGTACCTGCCAGTCTGCCCCTCCAGTGTTGGAGAGCAGCGGCTTGCCCGTGACCTTGATTCTCTGGCAGATCTAAGAAATTGTCGATTTTCTATTGTTCAATGTTTACCTGTTTTGATGGAGTGACCCTCCCGTGCCAGACCAGAAACAAGGCGCCCCGCCGGGTTCTTCCTCCGGCTCTGTCTTCCCATCAGTATTCTTTATGTGATGTGAGTTGCCATCTTTCTGTCGTTTATTTCTTCAAGTCCTAGAGTCTCCAACACTGGGACAACATCCTGTGGTGGAAATCTCGGTCCTTGTCCTGGGTGCTGGTCCAATAATGAGAACACGATTTTGAGAAAAGGGAGAAAGAAAGTTGATTGCTTTGCTAGCAAAGGTGAACCATGGGGCACTCCTGTCCCAGAGGCTGTGAGGGGGCTTTTGTAGAGGTGACTCAAAGGTGGCATTGCACATGCTCTCTGTTGGAGTTGGGAATTCACGTGTTGATTTGGGAAATAGCCATTTCTGAGGTCTTCTGGTACCATCCCCAAAGTCTGGATTACTTCTTTCCTGCGGTGGGTGAGTCCTCAAAGGACAGATAACCCAGCCTAGGGTAGGGAAGAAAGGTAATTCCGTTTCTTCTGAGATCAGGAAGGGGGAGAGATAGGGAAAGAGGAAGAGAGAGAAACACATCATTTTAAAAATCACTTGCAGTGGCAGAGCAGCAGGGCTATGTTCAAAGCATAAAGTGGACCGTGGTTACAATCCCAGACAGTTTCTATTGCCTGAGTGAATGTGTTTTGCTGTGTATCATACTTTCCCTTTTCTTGACATGTATCCCAGATTTTTGTTTGTTTTTGTTAGAAAATAGACATTTGAGGCCTTGCATGGTGGTGCATGCCTATAATCCTAGTGACTCAGGAGGCTGAGGCAGGAGGATCACAGGACGGCAGCCTTGGCAACTTAGCAAGGCCCTGAGAAACTGATGTGACTCCATTTTTGAGAAACCAGCCTCTACCTCAGAGCAGGGCCAGTCCAAAGGGGGGCAGGGGATGACCCTTGTCCTTGGAAAACCTGTTCCTAGGCACATAAGCTACCCTGCTGAGTCATTCATCTGTACCAGATGTCCATGACTCAGCTAATGCAAGTTCCAGAAAAGACCAAAAGAATGCTTGAGGCCTGATTCGGACCATAGCGACAACCAATCAGAGTGAGACAGGGAAAATATCTGAAATGCCCGGTGACCCTCCCAGTAGTTTCGGTGATTGATAATATGATTAGGCAACCCTGCAGTTTAGCATATACACTCTCGCAACCTCTTGCGGCCTAAACCAATCATTTCAAATGTATCCACCACTTAAACTAACCAATCACCCCTTCCTGACTTGTTCCCGCCAGTGAATGTACTAATCAATGTTAAGAGTTGTTGTTTGATTTTCCCGTAGTATGAAATGATTTGCTGTGTGATGTTGTGACGCATAGAGTATCCCCCCAAAACCTATAAATCCTCACTGAACTAAGGATCAGGACTCACTCTCGGGACCGCTGCGTAGGAAATGGTTGTGAGTCCAGGCTCGAGCTTGCAATAAAGACTCTTGTGTGATTGCATCGGATTCGGCTCCTGGAAATCTATTGGGGTCCCACGAATCTGGCATGTCAGCCCTAAGCAACTTAGAGAGACTCTGTCTCAAAGTAAAAATATAAAAAGGGCTGGGAATGTTGCTCAGGGGTAAAGCCCCTCTGGGTTCAATCCCCAGTACCAAAGGAAAAAAATAGGCATTGTAGGTTATATATTGTAGCAATCTGTGCATTTCCTCTTCCTTGAGTTCATTATTATTTGTTCACCTATGTGTGGACTGTCTGACTGGATTATAACAGTCCCTTATGTGTTGTAGGCACCTACCTGAGGTGTTAAGGCCATGGTGTGACTCCTTGGAGGGGCCAGAGCTTTGGGTGTGCCTAGTCACTCCAAGGTCTGGGCAGGGCTCTCGCCCTGAGCACACCCAGCAATTAATCTCCACTAATTGCAAGCCAATTGTTCAACTGTCTTCAACAAGACTCAGGAATATAAATTGATTTGAGAGAGGAATCCATTAAGGTCTGGAATCCTTTGAAGACAGAGTCAGATATTCATTCTGACAGCATCTCCCCTGCCCTCCTCCCCAGCCCCGGGTCCCTGTGGCCTGGGCCAGGCTGGGTGTTTTTCAGTATTGGTAAGCATTTACAAATAAGCAGAACAATAAAGCATTTGGACTATGTAAGTGTGTGGAAGACCAGGCTGTGTGGGGCATGGGGCTGGGGTTCACAGGTGGCGGGGTGGTGTCTTCTCTACCCTGCAGGATTAACACCCCTTCAAAGATTCCAGAAGGGCCCCAGCCCCACCACCTGGCCTCCAGGCCACTGCCCTGCCCCCTGCACTGTGAACAGAGCAGGCTGGGAGATGGGGCAGAGGAGGCAGGGGAGGAGCTGGAGCCAGAGGAGGAAGTGCAGCAGGCAGGGGCAGTGGTGAGGCCACCCTGCTAGTCCCTGGTCACCACGGCAGGAAGCTGAGCAGGAGGTGGAACAGAAGGGCAGCCACCAGGCAGGGGGGCACCTGAGGAGTCATCTGGGTCCCCGAGGTCAGCCGGTCACCATAGCGGTCCAGGAGCATCAGGGCCATTCCATTGGTCCAGCCAAACCCCTCCTGGAGACAGGCAAGGCCTGTGGGGCCAGATCTCAGAGGAGCCCAAGCCTCTGTTTTGAGGGTGTGGGATTCCCTACCCCAGGAGCTCTGTCCCGCCCATCCCCAGGGGTACCAAGGAGCACCAGTCAGGTCCTCCCTGTGGCCCCCAGACAGGGCACACTGGGGCCCAGAGGGTCAAGTCGGTTCTTGTGGACAGTGGAGCCCAAGAGTTGTAAGGTGTTGGCCAGCTCAGCCCTGGCCTGCTCACCTGAACTTCATACTCCCCTCCTCCACCTGGCTGTCCACCATTGCTGATGTCATACTGGGGACAAGAGGGCAAGCTGTAGGTCAGGAGCTGTCCCCAAGCCACCACTCCAGCCCCAGGCAACCAGCCTTGGAGCCCTTGGGAGATGCTCTGGCCTGAAGCTCTGGCCCCTGCAGTGCCTGGCAGTGGCCACTGGGCGCCGCCACTGTCCTGGCTGCACAGTCCAGGGTCTGCCAAGCCTGACTCTTCCCCACCTCGCCTGGGGGAGGAAGGTGAGGGACATCAAAGTTGGTTCGGATCCAATTCTGGGCCAGTTGAAAAGTCACTTCCTTGGTCCGAGGCGAAGAGGACTTGGCCAAACCTAGACTCCACCCCAAGCAGAACCTGAATCTTCAGAGCCCCCTTCCCTGGCACAACAGAAGCCTGAATCTTACTGTCCCACAGAGGGAATGAGGCCTGGCTGGGTCCTGAGACCTCTCGGAACCAGAGGCCACCCTGCACTTTACCCAGGGCTGAGGTTTGGAGGGAGAGGAGGGCTGGTTATACTGGACAGGGGGGAGGATGTGTTAGCTGTGGGGCAGAGAGAACAGAGAAAGGACCAGGGGTCCCACATCCTTAAGTCACCTCCCCAGTCCCGGAGCAGCTGGGGTCCACCTTGGCACAGATCCCCTTCCCACCTGCCTACCTCTGATGACCAGATCTTGCAGGGGGGCCCAGGCATTGGGGAAATCCCACTGCTGGCCTGTGTTCCGGAGAGAGGTTGGAATCCCATGCTGGTAGGTCAGGACCTGGCTGTCCTAGAAGGTTCCAGACATTGCTGGGACTGTGGGTGGAGCCTGGGCAGGGAGCCAGGATGCTGGGCCCTCAGGGAGCAGAGGGGCCCTTCCTCCCCTCCTCTTCTTGGCTCACTGCTGTCCCCTGGTGGCCTGAGTGGGACCCGCAGGCAGGACAGGCACAGACAGCAGTGGGTAGGTGGCTGGCCTGCCAGGTCCCTGCTCAGTGAGTAGAGGGCAGTCCTGTCTCCAGGGGCTCAGAGCGGCCAGCTGTCCCTCACCTCCAGGTATTTCAGAGCCTTGTCCACGGTGGCAGGGTCAGAGAAGCAGCCGGCCCAGAGCGGGGCGAGGTTGGAAGGGTAAAACTCCAGGTTCTTGCCCTTCTCTGTGTCGTAGTCGAACCAGGCGCCTTTCTGCTCATCCCACAGGAGGGCATTGAGGGCGGCCAAGCGCTGGGCCCGCAAGTTTCCGTACCTTTCAACCTGGGAGTCGTTCCCTGGTGGTGGCATTGCATTTGGACTGAACAAGCAGAGACCTGCCCTTGGGTCCTAAGGAAAGAGCTTCTGAGGTCTGAAGTGGAATATCTGCCTCTAACCCCTCGTTTCAACCAAACAGCCTCCCCAGCCTCCTCAGGCCAACCTAGACTGCGGCCACCTGCAGGCTACCAAGTGCTGCCCCCTGTGCCACGTGGCCAACTCGCTCCCCACTGGCTCTCCCCTGCCTGAGCTCCTGGGCCAGGCCTCTCCACCAGGGATGGGACTCGTGCCCTGTGTGTGGGGAACTTCCTCCCCTTTCTCTGAGGCTAAGAGAAGCCAGCAGTTTGCCCAAGTTCACCCAGGCCCTGGCCCTCCCTGGCACTGAGAGCTGCTCAGCATGTTTGTGCTGGCACAGCCCCTTCCTCCCTGACCTGAAAACACCTGCACCCTCTTCTGCTGGTTCCTCAGAATCGCTGAACCTCCCACACTAGAGCCGGCAGGAATGGCAGAGAGGACCTGATGTGCAAGCCCCGGCGGCTCCTGCCCTTGCTGTTCCCGGGACACATTCCTCCATATCTACCACACCTGGGGAAAGCGTTGGGGTTTCCTTCCCTCTTGGCCAGACACTGTGGTGGAGGCTGGCCCCTTGGATCTGGCTTGTTGGTGACAGCTGTGATGTGAGGATAAGGGGACGCGGGGGGACACAGCCTCTCAGTCACTGCCGGGTGGTCACCTGCCCAGTGCCAAGCTGGGTGGTCAGCCTTCTACTCAGAATCCAGTTGAGCCAGGTCCTCAAGGGCCAGTAGCAGGGGGTTGAGGACACCAAGGCTTGGCCTGATCAGGCCCTGACCACCTGGACGAGCAGCCGCAGACCTGGAGCAGAGCCTGGCCACTGCCTGCTGCTGCCAGGGCTGTGGCATGTGGCGCTGCGGACCCTGGAGTGCTGGGGAACTCGGAGCCAGGCAGTGTCCTGGGCAGGGCCAGGCCCACTGATGTGATGTTCCCAGGGACTGGAGAAGGCCTGGTGTGTCGGTGTGCGTGTGAACACGTTTGTGTGTGTTTGTTGGGAGGTCTTAAAAGTCTAGTGACAAACATGGCTGAGAGAAGGAGGGTCCTCCTCCCAGACATGGCAGTGAGCTCAACAGAAAACACTCAGCCAACCAGCCTCTCTGAAGTCCTCACTGCAACTGCTCAAGACAAAGCCTGATTGTTCCAGATACTGTCTTTCCCTTCACGCTCCACAACTGATCACCAACAAGTTCAATCTTCAAAATAAATCCCCTTATCGAACCACTCAGCACCATTCCAGGCTACCCCTGGAGACAAACCAGGGTCTCCTCTTTCTGGGAGCCCCCTCCTCCTTACACTCAGCCTGTTCTCACCTCTATCCTGGCCACAAGAAACTTCTTCCTGATCCTTGAAAGGTGCCTCAGGGCCTTTGCATGCAGTTTTTATGCCTGGATTGTCCCCTCCCTGATCCAATCAGGGACCGTTCCTTCCACTATTCTGCTCCCCAGAGACACCCCCTTCCTCTTGTCCAACACCCTCTGTTCACCCTGAGCAGTTCCTCAGCTGCATTCACTGTGACTTGTGCCTCTCTCCCTATCTAACTTCCATTCATGCTCTTCTTGCAAGAGCTAGTGAGGTGATCAGGGTGGGCGAAGACAGCTCCGCAAGTCCACCTGGAATGAAGAGTGGTTGGCGCCCTGCTTGCAGGAGGCAAGATGGGCTCACTTTGTAGTTGGCGATGTAAACCAACACTCAGGAGGGAGGTTTGACTTGCCCTGGGGCAGAGAGAGAGAATATCAGGTCAGGGCCTACCCAGGGGTTCTGGAGGCCTTAGGCCCCCTCTCACACCCAGGCTGGGGACACTGGGCAGAATGTTTGCTAGAACAGTCCTGTGGTTCAAGGAGCGACTTGGAGGGCAAGCTCTGGTCAGCAGCTCCTGGACTGTGCACAGGCCATTCTCAGGCAGCTTCACCTCGTCCCAGGTCTGGGGGCTCCATGCTGAACACTGTGCCAACTGTGCAGGGAAACGGGGCCCCAGGCTCCTTCAGGCTAAGGCTGCATCTTACAGAGAACCTCCCAGGGGTGTAGGGCAGACTTGCCCAAAGATGGTGACTTGGCAGCAGAAGCAGGCCAGGATGCCTGATGGCAGAGCCTCCTAGAATTCTAGTCTCTTCTCTGAGTTGTCCCTAGGGCAAGAGAGATTGCAGAGGGCAAAGAGTCAGGGGCCTGTAGTGAGGGGGCTGGACATGGGGCTTGCTCCTCTGCAGCTTGACCCCTGGCCTGTGTACTGCTGCCCTCTCCTCCCAGGGCAGAGCCTCCCACTTGGCCAAGATCTGGTACAAGACAAGGAAGGCTCAGCTCCCCTCCCCCTACTCCTTCACTCAAACCACAGCCACCAGGGCTGGGGTG